GGGGGGAAATAAAACCTGCTAAAATTGCAGAGATAGCACAGGCCCCCCCTGGATCGTGAACAAATGCCCACTGCTGTTTAATAAAGCTCTGACCAAATTCATGGACAGCCACCATGGCTGTTAATTAGTCATGGAGTACAGGGGTCACAGACTCGGGCTGTTTTAATAAAAACTGAACGCCAGCATTAATTCCCCACCACCACCACCACTGTACCCAGCTCAAGCAAGCTTTGAAATCGCGAACAAAAAAAAGCAAACACGTCTACAGTTTTCTCTGCCCCTCCCCTCCAGTCGCTCCGGTTTTCGTTGACCAGGCCCCTGCATTGTCTAAGGTAATAGGAGCTGAGCAGCATTGCAGATACGTGCCCTGGCGGCCTTTGAAATCGCTGACAATGGCACAGAACGAGCCCTGATCCGAGGGGGGTGGTGGGGCATGTTCGTCTGCGAAGGCGTTGTGCGCCCCGGCTTTGTTTTGCCCTCCTGCCGAACGGGATATTCACCCCACGTCCAGAAACCAGCAGCCCGCTCGAACATTCGAGCCAACAGAAACAAACGCAGAAGACAACAGCTCGTTAAGCTGATCTTTAAAGAATCAATGCGCCGGGAATCTCATTTAATCTCCCTTACATCTGTAGCTTCGATGTTTACTTATTTAAGGCAACAAGCCATCCTTCAGCCTGGGCTCCGGTCTCTCCTGGCGGCGGGAGGCGAGCCCGGCAGCGCGATCGATTCTCAGTGGATCACTGTCGGAATGGCTCTGCCTTCGGCTCCGGATTCCGCTGCCTTGAATTCCCGAAAGAGGAGCGCTCTTAACCGGTGTGAGGCCTGAGGAGATGTGGAACAGTGGCCCAGTTTACAGAGCTCCCGTAAGTGGGAGGAGGGCAAACCCGCTGTTTTTCCTTCAGCTCATCATGGGGAGTCCGGCGTGATAAACTGCACCTTCCTTGGTTTCCTGGAAAGGGACCATCGGAACCTCCTGGGTGAAATCCAGTGTGGGAGGCCAGGCTGGGCAGTGATGGGGGAAGGGGAAGGAGTCCGGAAGGCGGGGTGGTGGATCTCGATTTCTGGATTACCCCTTGGTAATCGCTCACCGTTGACGTGGTGGGAGATGGAAGGTGGGCCTTCTGCTTGCAGTCCCCCTCCTTTTGTGGGGTGGTGATGGGGGGGAGTTCAATTTTTCCAGTGGTTTCTTCTCCTGACTTTGGCAGCCGTGACTGGTAGCCAGCAGGGGAGTGATGGCCTGCTATCTGCCTTCGCCTTCCCCCGCGCCCACGCGCGCAGACAGAAGGCATGAGATTAGCGCCGGCAGCCTCCGAGTTTCGCTCTGCTGCTTATTGCTTTTTTTTTTATTGCAATTTTCGCTTGAATCTTTCACTGCGGCGTACGGCGGGGATGGAGCACAGCCCCGTTTCTTGCCCATCTGGCAGCACTGTTACAATGTGAGCGTGTGCGTGTTAAATACAGAATAAACAGCAGTGTGCGTGTGTTGGCATGTTTCTGTGAAGCGGAGTTTAATTTTCAAGGGCTCTCCAAATGCAAGGATCTCTGTCGTCTTAAGAAAGAAGGCACGTCCATTTTAAAAAACGTACAGAATTTCGGCCTTCGGTTTGCTGTTGAATTGTGCAGTGCCCCATGTGCTGTGGGTTACCGAGATCTTAGATATGGTTGCATTGAGCATGCACGTTGTGAATCGGCAAATGAAGCTCTCGGAAACATCACGTTTGAGTTATTTTCAGATGCATTGTGGGAGGGCTTTGTTCTTCCCTGAAGTTCTGCTCTGGGACTTACTCTGGCCCCTGGCTTGCAGGGGGTCTCTTAAAGAGTGCCTCCCCAGCGCCAGGAGTCACTCGGGCCCCTCTGTCGAGGAGGAAACCGCAGCATAAGAGCCAGGCTCTTTTGCTCACAATTTCCATTCGCTTGCATTTCCTATTGAAAGCCAATAGCAGTGGTCCGGGCCTGAAGATGGATGGCTGCACTAGAGCTAAGGTTTAATCAATAGGACTTTTTAATTTGCCATCGATCCCTGCTAAGAGCTGCTGTGTGACTGAGCGTGTGTGCATGTCTGCGGCTGTGCTCGGGTTATTGATATACCTGCCTTATTTAATTATTTAATTCTGGGACCGATACTAATGCATCTAGCTAACAGACTGCGGTCACATCTGTTCAAACCCCCCCAACTCCCCCCGGCTACATTTAGAAGCGCAGTAAAGCTTTTACCTGCCCTGAGAGTGACAACGATGAGGAATGAGCAATTTTTTTCAATTTATGCATGGTCCTGCTTGTTTTATAGCGCAAATATTCAGGCAGTAGAAGTCACAAACATGATCACAGGCTTGCGTGGATCTCTGAACCCCTGCTGCGATTTCACAGTGCCTGCCCAGCGCCGGCTTCTGTCCTTCAGCTGTCCGATAACGATCTCAAGGGCACGTCCATCCCCGCGCGCTGGGGAGCGAACAATCCCACCAGTTTGGGGGAGAAGAGAGGCCAGCAGCCGGAGAACTGACCGTGACCCCCCCAGCATGGGAGGGGTGTTGTGGTAGCAACTGTTGCTAAAAGCAGACGCTAATAAAGACTCCCTCCCATGTGTGGGGCAGATAGCTGAGTCAATGCTACAAACGGGCACATCCTTGAACTCCGCCATTGCTGCAGTCCCCCAGTTCCAGAGCGCTCTCCTGCTTGGTCAGTTCCTCGAACGATCCCGAGACGCATCGGGGGATGATCCCCCCCCAACAATGCAATTCCGTCTCGATCAGTTCCCAAGCATCCCTCTTCGCTCCCAAGGTATGCTAGGGGTTGAACAGAGGAGAGGGCTGCGGGATCGGGGGGAGGGGGAGGAGTGGAGCGCAAAGGCAGCCGTTTGCGATGCGAGTGGGGCCCAGATCGCACCGCTGCTGCAGATCTTGTGTGGTTCTTCCTGGTTTGAAGGCGAGCGAGCCTCCTCTCACCTGCTGTCCCCTCTCTGTGTCTCCCCCCCCCTGCAGGTGACCGGCTGCGGCAGACGGAGAACCGCGCCACGCGCTGCAAGGTGGAGCGCCTGCAGCTGCTCATGCAGCAGAAGAGGCTGCGCCGGAAGGCCCGGCGCGACGCCCGCGCCCCCTACTCCTGGCTGCCCAACCGCAAGTCCAGCCGCAGCAACAGCAACAGCAGCGTGTCCAGCGACGGCTCGCTGGACCTGGACTACGAGGACTCGGTCTGGAAGCCCGACGTGAAGGCCGACCTGAAGTCGGAGTTCGTCGTGGCGTAGCGCGGCGGCGGCGGCGGCAGTGGGGGGGGGCTGCCGGGAGAGGACAACGGGCACGGACAAGGAAGGACCGGCCAAGAGGGAGGGGAGGGAAGAGATGGCGACTCCTGCTGCCCATTGGAATGGAAGGACCGAACTTTGACCTTTGACCTCACCCGCGTGACCCCCGCCCCGGCGGACGCAGGCGGGGGCCCCGTCGAGACTCCCTGCTCCGCGGGCTCCTCCGCCCAGAGAGGCCCCAGGTCCGAGGGGTCCTGTCCGAGGACACGAAATCGAGATTATATCCAGTGAAAAATATATATACGCATATATATATATATGGTGTTGTTGTTGTTTTCTGGACTTGACGGGACTGTGCAAGACTGCAGAACGAGACTTTACAGAAATAAAAGAAAAAAAATCTTCAACGCCCTGCCTTAGGTAAGAAAAAACTCCTACGGGGCAGAATTTGAGGGTGGCTCGGTTTTTTTTCTCCCCCAAGGAGCACTCCGGCCTGAACTTGTACTGGCCCGGTTTTCTGCGCCTGTGCGTCTGGCGCCGCGGTGTTCTGGGCAGAGGCCGGGCGCCGGGACCCCAGAGAAGCGACCCGGCCGAATTTCGGACATGGGGCATTCTAGGCATCATCGTCACCAACCAGAAACGAAGAGTTCAGTTAATAAGGCGTCTTTTTTTTTATTGCATTTTCTTTTCCAAACAAAAGATGTAGCATTGTTCACAAAGCATTCAGGTTTTCAGAAACAAAATGGACAGGCCTGTTCTTTTTTTGCACATTCTTTTCTGAATTTTTTGCCCCCC